TCGTGCGTTGGCTCTGGCGATGTACCGCAGGAGCTGTTGGTGGTGCCGTTCATATTCCACTGACTTAGCGAGCTTGCGCTCGGCGACGCGGTGTCGCTCGTGTTGCTTGTGCTGTTAAAGCGGAAGACTCGACTGTCGGGGATACCGGCTGTGCTATCACCTCCATTGACTTTCGCAGCAGCGGGAGCCATACGCTGCTGGCCCGTGGCGAAATAGTTCTCCGCCTGCCCTGCTGCCTTCAATACGCTGGGGCTGAAGAGATCACCGAACGGATCGGTGCCATTTGCGTTCATTTGGGGAAGGGTGCTTGCGAAGCCGTGCATATTGTCGTTGGTGCTGTAAGGTGCAAAGTCTGGGTTCGTCCGCAAGTACGAGTTCTGCTGTGCTGTAGGACTCTGCGAGTGGCTCGCAGTGCCGTTCATACCTTGTAAGTTGACGCTTTGCACACTACCATGTGAGCTACCCTCCCGGGTGAGTGGTGGTGGCTGATTGGCACCCATGTACCCGGTCACTGGCGACTGCGTCATGATAGGCGGCGTGATACTATGACGCTGACTGCTAATACTGCTGCCGGACCCATTCTGATTGCCGAAGATTTGACTGCCGGGTAGCTCTCCGAATTTGGGAAAGTCGAATTGGAAGTTCTTCTGTGCACTGCCATTGCTGTTGTTGCGATTCAAGCTTGGCTGCATGGGAGGCGAGCGGCTGACGCTGCCCCCTAGTGACAGACGCTTGCGATACTCTTTCAGTTCGACCTGTAGGCGGTCGACTTGCGCCTTCAACATGCCGTTCTCGTGTTTGTCTGCTTCGTGTGCCTTGGACATCTCATTGACCTTAGTTTCCAAGTCCTTCAGATGTCGCTCTTTGCGCTCGCGGAATGCACGTTGAGCTGCACGGTTCTGAGCTTTGCGTTTCTGCCATGAAGTCAGCAAAGCAATTTGTAATACCATCACGTGACTACACATACCGTTGTAGGCTCGTTCGTGAGCGGCTTACGACCAGGCTTCTTCGCTCCTCTCTCTCCTTCTTGTGTCTCCTGGCGCTTCGCATCACCTTCTTCGGCATCGTCCTCCTCATCCGGGTGGTTCCGTTTATCATGCTGCTCTCCATGGCCAGGCAGCGCACCGATCATCTCGCCGCCCAAGTCCGCGCCATCAAAGTCGACATCGTCATATTCTGCGTCAAAGTCGTACCCGTCCATGTCTGGCGATTGGAATAGTGAGCTGGTCGACATTGTGCCGTTGTCTTCCAGCTTTAGGTGCTCGGAGGTAGCGGTGTTGGCTCCGTTAACGCCGGCCTGAGGTTGGGAGGCCTGTGAGTTCAATGCGACCAGCAGTAAATCACGCTGGCCAGCGGTGAGGTAGGGGTTCGTCTGCTGCTTCAGTCCACTAGGCGCCAATGCCATTGACTGTGGCACGGTAGGCTAGACCAGCTGGTTGAAGGTTGTCGTGGTCCGCCCACGGGATACTCCGGATGGTCCGCGCTGATCGCTGTCTAGTCGGCGAAATGTGCGCGATAGTGTGGGTGCAAGTCTCGCCGCCGGTGAGCACTGTCGTTCTCTTCCAAATTCAGTGTAAGGCAATGGTCGACTGGTGTGCGATTCGCCCTGGTGATGACGTGCGGGTGACTGAGTACGCTTGTCTTCCCTCCAGATCGCGAGACTCGTTGATATCTCAGGCGAAGAAAATAACGTCACGTTGTTAGTTGGTGTCTAGTGTCAGGAATGAGAAAGAAAGCAGGCAGGCAGGAGAAGCTGCCTCAGCTTGCTAGTGGTAAAGTGGTAAGGCGTAGTGTGGTGCAGGGGTCGCGCAAGTAGGTCCTGACTTTGGTGGGGGCACAGCGAGCAACACTGCGTTTGACGGGAAGCGGTCAATCGCGTGACGGTGGTCAGACAAGCTCGGTGGCAAATGCTGCAATGCCAGGCACAGGCTATGGTGACGGCGTGTGATTCATGGTAGCCACACGCTGATTGTTCGAGTTGTGGTGGCTTGCAGAGATGCTCGTCAGAAGGTTTGAGGATTACCAAGCAGTCAGCAGCTGAAGGTGATCGAATCGGAGACATCCCTCCGAGTACTTCGCTGGGGTGGGGTAGACTGCGGCCGAGAAGGATTGCATGAGATATGCAGGGCAAAGCGGGACCTCTTGTACGGTATTCGCATTCGCATGGACAAGATGATACATTTACAGTAGGACTTGGAGTCTAGAGTCCTTGCAGACTGCGAAAGCGGCTCATCGCAGCGTGCTCACTTTGGACAACGAAGGCAAATTACACCGGACTGCACGCACTCCACGATGATATGCAACAGACAATCCAAGTCCTACTTTGCGACATCTACTAACATGGCGCGCAATGCAGTCTCATACTCTGACGTTGGGGCTCGCAAGCATTGCAGCGCGTGCAGGGACTGAGAAGTTGTTGTTGTGCCGCTCGAAGCTCATCAAGTCGACTGAGAAGGCCGCGCGAGAGCGTGCATAGATAGCACATAGCAAGTCCGAGGGCTCATCTGTGGGCTCTCGCCGATGGCCGTAGTTCTCGTTTGGAATCCCTGCTTTCAAGACGATTGAGTCGACCTCTCGCTGGGACAGCATACGGATCAATTGTCGGAGCCAACGCGACAAAGGCCCCAGCACATTGATCAAAGCCGCGGAGTGCATGAGCTGCCTTATGGGTGCATTTGCATCTGAGCATGGCAACAGAGAAAGATGAGCAAATGCGTTGAACGCAGTATGGGTCGCCATGACGCCCAGTATATCATGTCGTCGTAGATATATGTTAGTCCTCAAACCACCTGTGAACTCATGTGCGGCACGTGCACTGTGAAAGCGTCAGTGGATTTGACCACTCGAAGTGAACTGACGCCCATTCTTATCATCTTCATTATAACAGCATCTTAATACTCACACAATCTCTCCGAAGTCGTCCCGGACGACTGCTTCGAGTACATATCATCCAGGTAAGCAGTCACTCATGCAAGCAGCGGGAAGCGTCGCGGCGGCAGGAGCAGGTGGATTGGCAGCAGCTCAGTGAACGCAAACACTCGTAACGTACACATCACTATCAAACTTCTACGAACGACTACTGAAGTCATCATGAGCGTCCACGATGGAAAGTCACTCGAAGAACTGCAAGCCGAAATCGCCAATTGCGACGAGCTGGTGTCTGCCTGCGACGAGGTCCTCACACTCGACCCGGACGATGAGACTTACGTGACCGAGAAGGCGAGTGCCTTAGCCGAGATCACAATTCTCAAGACTCTCATCGCCACCCGCTCAGCGCCACCACCCCCAGCAGAAGATGCGCCTCCTCCGCCTCCGAAGTGGGATCCCACTAAGCACCCCAAATTCCGCAAGGCGTCCCAAGAAGCTCCAACGCCCCCACCCGCAGACGACACCCCAGTAATCCACAACGTGAAAGACGTCATCCTCGCCAAATGGTCCGGTGACAAGCAGTTCTACGAAGCCGTCATCACCTCCAAGCTCGGCAGCCCCACGGATCCCGTCTACACTGTTACCTTTAAGATTGATAACAGCACTGAAACGAAACGCTCCCACGAAGTCCGCGCCATGCCAGGCAAGAAGCGCAAAGCCGAATCCCAGGCACAACCCGCAACGCCCACCTTCGCGCATCCACCCTCCAACCACTCAATCATCACAGCCGCGCCCACAGTCGACAAGACCCTCATCCCCAAGTACGAGCCGAGCAAAGTCTCAGACGGACCCACACGCATGCAGCCAGAGAAGAAGAAGCTCAAAGGTGTCAAGCCCATGGAGGCAAAGAAGAATAATTGGCAGAACTTCCAGGCTGTGGGACCGAAGAAGGTGCCTGTTGGCGCCGCGAAACAGAAGGCGAGTCAGTTCCGGACGCCAGATGCGCCGAATGCGAGGGTTGGGGTGCAGGGGAGTGGGAAGCCGATGCAGAAGGATCCGGCGAGGGCGAAGTGGGTGGCTGAGAGGAAGGGTGAGGATGAGGATGACTGAGAGAGTTGTGATGGACGGAGATACAACGTAAGTGAGAAGTTGATGCAGCGGCAGCGGCAAACAGGTTCAGCAGGATTGAAGTGGCCTTTTCCCCAATCATGTTACTATGGACCTCGTGTGCTTTCGCAGCGTCGGCCGGCGATGGGCACCGTGGACCTCGGGCTTCCCTGAGGGGAGAAGAAGAAGAAGAAGCACGCGGCATGGCTATGCTGGAGTCTTGAGAAGTACCCCAATACCCAGAAATTATCACGAGTCCAAGCTAAGTATTGAGCACAGCTATGAACAAGCACCTGGCTCACGTTTCGGCTACTCCATGCGGATTCCATGGTCGTTCTCACTCACGTTCTGTCATTGCTGATGGCTCGATCAGCCACATTGTTGCTTCTCTACTGAATCTGCCATTACTGCGCTTTGAGTATGGTTGCAAGGACGTGACTCGGTAGCCCGTGTCGGACGTGTCTGGTACTCTCGTCTGCAAGCTCGTTCACGCTCTGGACGGAGTGTTGTAGGCGCATCCACGTCACTCATACTGTTTCGGGGTACCTCTAAGAGAAACATGCTCGTACGGGTTGATGTCGGCGATGTTGGCCTGTATTATGATGTGTCAAGCTCACTGCAGTCTCTCTCTGTCATAGTCGAGGCTCGTCATGATTTCCGCAGCTTCGAAAGCATCAACAGCAGCGAAGTAGCACTCATCAGAAAATACATGTCTTTCTCCTAGCTCCCATGTGTCTCCCTTTCCTCGGACGACGTACCACGGCGGAGTCACGTCCCATCCCTTTAGACACTCGACACACACCCAATCTCGTATACAGACTCCATGCGTTGGGTTCGTCACTCCCCACACAGCACGATTGCTTGTCCACCTGTGGATACGATATGAATGATGTGCTGAAAACGATTGGTCCTTCGCCATCAATTGCCAAGCCTCAACCCCACCAAAAGCGCAAAACGGTATGGTGGTGTGTACTGAACCTGCACTTGTTAGAATACGAATGCGATGAGGTTGAAACGAGATGCTGCTTACAGAGTGGGAATCGAACCCACGCTCTTTCGAACTAGCGTACAGATCTTCGAAGAGAATACCTTAAGCTAGCGCCTTAACCGCTCGGCCATCTGTCCGTAAAGGCACGTGATCAGGAGCTCCAATATAATCTTGTACGTTGACCGCCTCAAGGCAGCTGCTCGATCCTATCACCTAATGCGATTTCAGCAGCCTCTCCTGAAGCCTTCATGGTCCCACGCCGGTGAATTTTGATTGGAGCAGTGTAATCAGTACTCGAGAGGTGGACGTAGCTTTGGCCAGGAGGAAGCGACTCGGTAAGTGAATTGTAGTATGTTCGACACTTGCCAGCCCATGAAATACGACTCGCAGGATGGCAACGCTGCGTGAAAGTTCGCTATTCTGCGAGCCTATCCCACGACACCGATATGTAGAGTACAATCCAATGTCCTTCGTGCTGTGCGAGGCATTTACAACACTATTGACTGAGCCCTCTTAACTATCGCTCCAGGTGATAATCGTAATACAACCCACGGTCTGCTTCCTCAGACGGGCATTTGTTGCCCTGTGCTCATGTTGACGCCACCTAGTCTTCCGGCGCCTGCGGATCATCTGTCTCCTCAGTCGCACTTCCCGGAAATGCTCGAGTATACCGGACAGCATTTAGCTGAAAGTCACGAGCGAAAGGCCGGTAAGCGCCGCGTAGTAGAAGCTTATTGGACTGAGCCCAGTGAGCGTGTCATCTGCAGACATAGAAACAGGCTGGCCAGGTGCTCGAATACCAGAAGTGCTCCTGTGACGATGCAGACGATGCAGGTACCGTCGCCTGAGACCTGAAGGTGCGTCGTGGGTGTGAGATGAGTACACACGGACTCGAGATGTTCGACAAGGTATTCGCAGCATAGATGCATATAGCTAATGCTTGCTGTGAGGACACGTTGCCAGCTGAGTCGTTCATTGGAGTCGATCAGGATATTGTCTATGGCGTTCGGGAGATTTCTCTCGAAACTTGCGAAGCGGCGGTCGAGGTCGTGGAGGCGTGACCACAGCCAGGAGATGCCTGGTACTCTTGCGAGCAAGTTGGGACGCTTTGTGATCGCCTTGAGCAAGGATGCTGTGGGTCTTGGAGGCAGTGGTTTTGTTGTCTTGGTCAATGGGCCATCTAGTCCTAGCATCGGTGCGATGCGTCGCAGCACAAGCGAGCAAAGGCGGAAGACAAGTATCGTATTGCCGAGGAATATGAATGCAGATTTGACAACGGTAGCGATGGTTGTGGAGCGATCGTTCGACAATGAGCTAGGCAGCTTCGCAGAGGCGTCGTTGCAATCTCCTACATCCGTGGCTGGGTGTAGGTAATGCGTGCATGTGATACTGGGCCACCTGTCGAGAAGTGAAGTCAAAACTAGGTGCTCGCACATGTGAGGAGGAAGGCACGATCGAGGTCGCTAAGCCTGCAAAGTGGCCCCATCCGACTGCAATGTAGAGCCGCTGTCGGTCGACAATACCGAGACTGGACAGTGTATGCGTTCATTCTTCGAGGAGTCTGGAGGCTACTACAACCAAAGTGCATTCGTCGCTAGTATCACCTTGGTCTCGGTCCACGATTGAGAGACAGTGTAGCTTTTGCCATAGCCGTATCGAGCCCTGATATCGGTTAGAGACATGGTTATAGCGGTGAGCTCGATCGCTCCAAAAGTGAGGTTGCAGTGTACTGTACTCGCTATCAACGACTTGCACTGGATGGAGCAGCGGAGAGACATTCCTAAAAGTGAAGCCAAATGGAGGTACCTAGTTCTAAGTCAAGGTACAATGCTTTCGCAAAGTCTGTTCCGTGGAGTGTCTGGGCTCTCGTGGACATCGGGGAAGCTCTCCCGCTCCTAGAAGACGCAGGTGAGCGGATAGGACCTAGGTTTCACTTATTCTCATCGTCTTAAGGCTCTTCCACACGTATGGACGTAACGCTCCACTGCCACGGCTAGAAGATTATGAAACCATACGGAAGGCAGCAGTCGAGGATAGTGAAGACGCGGACATAGGCTTGTGGAACAGACTTTGCGAAGGCGTTGTAGATCTCTGCGCTTCATAATAACAGCATGAAGGCCTCCTTGTATCACAGGCTCGTGAGGTGTCGAACTTACTCGCCCTTTAGGAGCAACGCCTACCATCTTTTCTGTCGAAACCTCCCAGTGGATCTCCTCCTGGTGTTCAAAGCTCTGTCCGTTGACTGAAGCTTGCTGCATGTCAAAATGCAGTCTCCCGTTGCGATCTTCGTGGCACTGCCAAGCGAGATACTTACCATGTTCTATCGTAACGTCGATAGCATTGTCGATTTGCAGCATCTGATGCTAGCATCACCACATGTATGGCGGCATCTAAGCCATGGAACGACAAATGCCCTCAATACTGGACGATATGCTACAGAAAGGATCCGTTCACCCACAGATCGCTCTTGTCATTCGAATTGCTGCGCATCTCCGTTGCCAATCGCCACCGTTGATGAAGCTGTTGAGCGATCTTGCTTTAAGAGCATTTACTCCTGGTCTCAGTCACGTCATCTACGGCCTAGATATTGACGAATTCCACGAAACTCTGCCTCGAGACATCAAGCCCAGCGACGTACGACGTCTAATTACTACGTCTTTCGCCATTCATGCCACAACCTTGCGTTGTGTCCACCATCACCTTCGTCGCTTCCACTCCTTGCGACCTATAAACGTAGACGTGGGAGATGGTATCGATTTCGATCTGCAGAAAAATAAGTGGACTGATCTCCCTACCAGTCCGAGATCGCCAATTGACAATTCTGGCCCACTGTTGTGGCGTGAGATGCAACAAATGCTCAAAGCGTTCTGGATGATCTACATTGCACGGATTTTCCTCGCAAGCCGTCGACGACGTGATTTCGAGCTTCCAGAGCGATGGAAACACGTGGAAGTGGACGACATGAAACCCATTGACCTGTTCGGCTTTTAGAGACAAGGGGAATCGGACTGGCATCAAAGGCATCGCCCTAGAGACTATCTATCTCGTGCGATGCAGCTGTTTCTCACGGCTGAGGAGTACCTAAAATACTTCACATCTGTCAATGATCCACCTCTGACAACAGGGACTTCGCCTTGTGAACGGACTAGAGGAGACACTCAAGTTTGGCCCGAAGTCTCCGAGACTATGGAACATTTTGTCCTATTGTTCAAGGAGATTCAGTCAATACCGGACGGAGATGGATTCTGTCCTTGGAGGCGGCTGGGATTTGCAATTTGGGACATTGAGAGACTT